AGGCATGTAGATTAGACACATAGGCAAAGGCAAATGAAGCCGCAATTTAAATGATCGCAGCTTCATTTAAATTTACATGGCTGCCGCGCTGAGCCGACAAACAGCTGATCAGCTGTTTGTCCACTCAGCGAGCTAGTCTGGACGCTCCCCTGCTGACATCAAAGCCCTTTGTCGGCAGCCCCGTTATTCCTCGTGGGATGAGGTTACCGGGGCTGCCGACAAAGGGCTTTGATGTCGGCAGAGGAGCGTCAAGACTAGCGCGCTCAGCCAACAAACAGTTGATCAGCTGTTTGTCAGCTCAGCGTGGCAGCCATGTAAATTTAAATGAAGCCGCGATCATATAAATCGCGGCTTCATTTGCCTTTGCCTATAATCCTAATCTACATGGCTCCATCGACGGAGCCATGTAGTCTAGACACAGCCTAGGGCGTGTGGCACTCTCTTTTGTGTCTGAGTGCGGGGAACAGAGAGTGCCTGTCATTGAGCATCCATGCCGGCTCCTTCACCTGCTGTGTCCTCAGGCCTGCTCCTTCACTGGCTCTGTCTGTCCTCCAGCCGGCTCCTTCGTCATTGGCCTGCTCTGTCCTCATGCCGGCTCCTTCACCTGCTGTGTCCTCAGGCCGGCTCCTTCACCTGCTCTGTCCTCAGGCCTTCTGTCCTCAGGACGGCTCCTTCACCAGCTCTGTCTGTCCTCAGGCCGGCTCCTTCACCAGCTCTGTCTGTCCTCAGGACGGCTCCTTCACCAGCTCTGTCTGTCCTCAGGCCGGCTCCTTCACCAGCTCTGTCTGTCCTCAGGACGGCTCCTTCACCAGCTCTGTCTGTCCTCAGGCCGGCTCCTTCACCAGCTCTGTCTGTCCTCAGGACGGCTCCTTCACCAGCTCTGTCTGTCCTCAGGCCGGCTCCTTCACCAGCTCTGTCTGTCCTCAGGACGGCTCCTTCACCAGCTCTGTCTGTCCTCAGGCCGGCTCCTTCACCAGCTCTGTCTGTCCTCAGGACGGCTCCTTCACCAGCTCTGTCTGTCCTCAGGACGGCTCCTTCACCAGCTCTGTCTGTCCTCAGGACGGCTCCTTCACCAGCTCTGTCTGTCCTCAGGACGGCTCCTTCACCAGCTCTGTCTGTCCTCAGGCCGGCTCCTTCACCAGCTCTGTCTGTCCTCAGGACGGCTCCTTCACCAGCTCTGTCTGTCCTCAGGACGGCTCCTTCACCAGCTCTGTCTGTCCTCAGGACGGCTCCTTCACCAGCTCTGTCTGTCCTCAGGACGGCTCCTTCACCAGCTCTGTCTGTCCTCAGGACGGCTCCTTCACCAGCTCTGTCTGTCCTCAGGACGGCTCCTTCACCAGCTCTGTCTGTCCTCAGGACGGCTCCTTCACCAGCTCTGTCTGTCCTCAGGCCGGCTCCTTCACCAGCTCTGTCTGTCCTCAGGACGGCTCCTTCACCAGCTCTGTCTGTCCTCAGGCCGGCTCCTTCACCAGCTCTGTCTGTCCTCAGGACGGCTCCTTCACCAGCTCTGTCTGTCCTCAGGCCGGCTCCTTCACCAGCTCTGTCTGTCCTCAGGACGGCTCCTTCACCAGCTCTGTCTGTCCTCAGGACGGCTCCTTCACCAGCTCTGTCTGTCCTCAGGCCGGCTCCTTCGTCACCTGCTCTGTCCTCATGCCGGCTCCTTCACCTGCTGTGTCCTCAGGCCGGCTCCTTCACCTGCTGTGTCCTCAGGCCGGCTCCTCCGTCACCTGCTCTGTCCTCAGGCTGGCTCCTTCACTGACTCTGTCCTTATGCCTGCTCCTCTGTCACCTGCTCTGTCCTCAGGCTGGCGCCTTTTTCGTCTTCTCCGTTGTCTGTGTTTTAGTAAATACTCAGCTTGCCAGGCTCTCTGCAGCGATGGATGGCATCTGCTGAGGCGGTCAGTTCTTTCACCTGCGGCTGGTTCGCTGGTGAGACACTTACAGTACGTGCTGTTCTGGAAGGATTTGCTGCACGAGGCTAATGCGTTTCTTTTGCTCCTTCTCTCCCCGTAGGAGATGGCCAAGGAGGCCCCTGTGTGTGCTCCTGAAAGCATGGACAGCGAAGACATGCTCTTCATGCTTTATACCTCAGGGAGCACGGGCAAACCCAAAGGGATTGTTCACACGCAGGCTGGGTACCTGCTTTATGCTGCTGTGACACACCAGGTACCTGCCAAGAAAGAACGTTTGTGCTTTATCAGTAGCAATGTGGGACAGTTGTTTGTTTAATAAGGCTGCTTCTGTCCATGTTTGCAAATTGTCTAGCGTATTGCGTGCAATGGGGTTGAAAAGTACACAAGAGCCCATTAATCATTACATTGTATTGATTTGCTTTCCGGAAGCACGCTGCCTGGAGAGTCCGATCCCAGGGCTTGGAAGGAATGCGAAGGAGGCATTTTGAATTCATCCCTCATTGTCGGTCTTGCTCCGCATTGCAGGGCTCTTGCTGCACACGGGTGCTGGGTTTCTAAGAAGGGATGGCAGTTTGTGTGCCTGTCTGTTGCAGAGCAAACAAACGATTAATGCTTACTGTTTCTGCCTCTGCCACTGATTTGCTATGTGAGGTCAGGCAAGTCCGTTAGCCTCACTGTACCTGCATTTCCCCCGAAGCAAAATGGGCCTAATGAGACCCTTGCAAAGGGGTGTTGTGAGGCTCCCCTCTTGCTGTTTCTGCTTTGAGGTCCCCCCCTGAAAAGTGTAGTAGAAATCCATGTAGCATTATAGCAAAGTTTCTAGAGGAGATTTCTGATCTAGTCCCCGGCCCCACTCACGTGTCATTTTCAGAGAGACCCTTTGGGGTTCTCAGCTCAGCGGTGACCTTTAGAAGATTTGAAGATCCATTTGGGATGATGGGCTGAGCTGTTAAACCTTTCTCCAGTGGGGTGGTTGCACCAGTCACCTTTTCCCCCCAAGTAACTGCAAGGTGGGGCATACAAATCTGTGTGCTTCTCAGTCCAAAAGGAAGGTTCCCAGCTTTGGTCTAGGCATTCAGAGAGTCTTGCTTCCCACACGGGTGCTTTCCTCTAAACGTACAGCCCTTTGAGCACTAGGAAAGGTGCTGTGCGAATGATCCAGCACTGGCCCTGGACCTGCTTGCTGGTAAGTCTCCTTGGCCCTTTGATTCGCATTTCAGGGTAGAGCTTTGGGTTCGGTGTTGCCTCTAAGCTGAGCGCTTGGGCAGCCATCCAGCAGAGATTCCAATGCCACCCAGCTGATTAGCAGAGCGCCCACAGCCAGCAACACGTGCCTGTACTGGTGGTGCACATCAGCACATGCCTCAGTGCACTTCACAAAATGTATTCTGCACATGGAAACAATTAGAGGGAATATTGGTTGGGTTTTTGTTGTTTTCTCAGGCTTTTTTTTATTACTTAAAAGGTAAATCTAGCTACAGCTTTCCAACTCTGGTAACATGTATCAGCTGCTGCAAGAAGGCAGGCTTCCTAGGCAGAATATTTCAGGGTATGTCTACACTACAAAGTTAGTTCGAACTAACGGACGTTAGTTCGAACTAACTTTAATAGGTGCTACTCTAGCGCTCCGCTAGTTCGAATTTAATTCGAACTAGTGGAGCGCTTAGTTCGAACTAGGTAAACCTCATTTTACGAGGATTAAACCTAGTTCGAACTAGCTAGTTTGAATTAAGGGCTGTGTAGACCCTTAATTCGAACTAGTGGGAGGCTAAGGCTTCCCAGGTTTCCCTGGTGGCCACTCTGGCCAACACCAGGGAAACTCGTCTGCCCCCCTCCTGGCCCCGGACCCCTTAAAGGGGCACGGGCTGGCTACCGTGCCCGTGCCAGGTGCAAGCCTGACAGCCCCCAGTCAGCAGACCCTGCACCTTGCACGGCTCCCGCCAGCC